TGAAAATGTTCTGGAATTAGATTGGGGTTGATGTTTGCACAACTTCATGAATATTCTAAAAACTACTGAATTGTACACTTTAAAAGGGTGATTGTGGTGTGTGAATTAAATCTCAATTAAAAAAAAATCTCTATGTGGTAAAAACCCAAATAATTCTGTGCGGTTTTATAAAGAACTGCACTCCTGTCTCCACCTATGCGTATAAGGAAGACAGTATGAAGAATCTGCTACACCACACCCAGCTTCAATTATCAACATGAGGCGAATTTTATTTCACTTATTCCCTCTACCCAGACCTTCAGTCTAGACATTATATAATTTTATCCATGAATACTTCTCTATGTATCTCAAAAGATAAAGCCTTTTTTTTAAAAAAAAAAAAAACATAGTTGCAATACTGTTAAAATACCTAAAAAAATAAACATTTCTTTGATATTATGTAACATGCAGTTAGTATTCATATTTCTCTGATTAGCCCATAAATTCTCTTTTATAATTGGTTTTTTCAAATCAGGATCCAAACAGGGCTCACATATTGTAGTTGGTTCATATTATTATTATTATTTTTTTAAAGGTGAGAAAGGATAAGCCTGTCTACACAGGGTGCCTCTAAGGTTTTTTTTTTTTTAAAGATTTTATTTATTTATTTATTTTTTCCTTTTTCTCCCCAAAGCCCCCCAGTACATAGTTGTATATTCTTCGTTGTGGGTCCTTCTAGTTGTGGCATGTGGGACGCTGCCTCAGCGTGGTTTGATGAGCAGTGCCATGTCCGCCCCCAGGATTCGAACCAATGAAACACTGGGCGGCCTGCAGCGGAGCCTGTGAACTTAACCACTTGGCCACGGGGCCAGCCCTGGTTCATATTATTAATCTTTTGTTTGTTGAAAAAGCAGAGCCATTTGTCCTATAGAATTTCCCACATTCTGGATTTGGTTGACCACATCCCGTAATGTTGTGCAACATTTATTCTATTCTCTGTATTTATTGTAAAGTAGAGGTGTCATCAGACTCAAGTTCAGTTCTGGGGCCAAGACTCTTTTTTAAATGGTAGGGTGTATTTCCTTTTGTATCACATTAAAAGATAGATAATGTCTTCTTCACTCTGTGATATTAAGATTGATCATGTGTTGAGGTATAAGCCAGCCAGTTGTTAACAATACAATTAATTTTGTATATTAATATTTTATCCTGCAATCTTGATTAGCTTACTTATTAGTTCTGGCAGCTTTTTTGAAGATTTCCTTAGGACTTTCTACATACATGATCATGTTGTCTGTAAATAAAGAAGTTTTAATGTTTCCTTTCTAATCCATGCCTTTTATTTCTTTTTCTTGCCTTATTAAAGTGGCTAGAATCCCCAGTCAATGTTGAATAGAAATGGTGGGAGTAAAGGTCCTTGCTGAGTCCCAGACTTAGGAGGAATACATTCAGTCTTTTATCAGTATAGTGTTAGCTATTGGTTTTTCTTAGATGCCCTTTATCAGGTTGCAGAAGTTCCCATCTATTCCTTCTATGTTTTTTGAGAATCTTTTTCATGAATGAATGTTTGATTTTGTCAAGTGCTTTTTCCTGCATTTAATGAGATGATCACTTTTTTAAGATTGTTAATATGGTGAATTGCGTTGATTGAATTCAAACGTTGACACAACCTTGCATTCCTGGGATAAATTACACTTGGTCATCATGTAACCAGTGTGTATTGTGGTTTTGATTTGCTAAAATTTTGTAATGATTTTGAGTTTGTGTTCATGAGGTATATTGGTCTTTAGTTTTCTTATAATTTTTTTTCTGGTTTTGCTATTGGAGTAATGCTGGCCTAATCAAATGAATGGGGAACTGTACCTTCCTCTTCAGTGTTCTAGAAGAATTTGTGTAGACGTGGTATTGCTCCACTGTCTTCTTTCTTGCATTGTTTCCAGTGAGAAATCTGCTATCATTCTTATCTTTGTTCCTCTGTACATATCTTTTTTCCCTTTGGTCTCTTTTTAAGATTTTCTCTTTTTCACTGATACTGAATAATTTTTTTATGATGCATCTTGTAGTTTTCTTCATGTTTCTTGTGGTTGAGGTTCTCTAGGCTTCTTGCATCTTTTGATGTAATTTTGGAGAATTTCAGCCATTACTTTTCCAAAATTTTTTCTGTCCACTCCTTTTGGGGCGTCCAGTTTCATGTATTTAGGCCTGTCAGTGTTTCTTTTTGGATAGTTTCTGAGGCCATGACTTCATGTCACCATTTTTTTTTCTGTAGTATCTGAACTGCTGTTAATCCCATCTAGGATGTTTTTTGTTTCAGACAATTAAAAGAGAAATCTTTATAGGTTTGATTTGGGTGTTTTTAGTACTTTCCATGTTTTTACTTAACAGCCTTAGGTTCTTGTCTACTTCCTTAAACATATGGAATGTAGTTACAATAAATGGCTTTACTCTCTCTGTCTACTGATTGTATCATCTCTGTCATTTCTGAGTCAGCTCGAATTGATTGATCTATTTTCCTAATCATGGGTCACGTTTTCCTGTTTCTTTGCATCCCTGGAAATATTTGATTCAGTGCTGGCAGTGTCAGTTTTACCTTGTTGTACACTGGATATTTTTTATTCCTTTACATATTTTTGAGCTTTGTTCTGGGACACAGTTAAGTTACTTGGCTGTAGTTTGATGCTCTTGAGCAGGATTTGGCAAACTACAGCCTGCAGGCCGAATCTGGCCATGCCTGTTCACGTACAGTTGGTTTGTGGTTGCTTTTGTGCTGACAGAAAAGTGTGGCAGAGAGACCGGATGGCCTACCAGGCTCAAAATATTTACTGTCTGATCCTTTACAGAAAAGGTTTCTTGTCTCTTGCTTTTTTTTTCCCCCCAAAGATTTTGTTTTTCCTTTTTTTCTCCCAAAGACCCCCAGTACATAGTTGTGTATTTTTAGTTGTAGGTCCTTCTAGTTGTGGCATGTGGGACGCCACCTCAGTGTGGCTCGATGAGTGGTGCCACATCCGCACCCAGGATTCGAACCTACGAAACACTGGGCCGCCTGCAGTGGAGCACGCAAACTTAACCACTCGGCCATGGGGCTGGCCCCTGTTGTCTCTTGCTTTTGCAGGCTTATCTTTAGGCTTTTGGGCTGGACCAGAGCAGCCTTTGGGGTGGGGCTAATTGCTCCCCACTCCTGAGGCAGTGCTCAGAAGAGCGTGCTACCGATGCTTGTGTTCTAGGAGGTTTCTCACTCTGGCTCGTCAGTAGACAACCATTCTGTGCCCTGTGTGTGTATCCAGCGATTGTTCCGCCTGCTCCTTTTCAGTGGTTCTCTCCCTCGCTGTGGGTAGATCTTCACACATGTGTGCTGATCAGTGCTCTGCTGAAGACTTGAGGGAAATCATAGCATCATGGAGCTCTCTCTCTCTAAGCGTCCCATTTTCAGTTCTGTGTCCTCCACTTCTATTCTCCAGTCCTCTGCCCTGTGAACTCCAGCCGCCCTGGCCTCCATGAATTCTCAGCTCTACCTCATCAACTCATCAAGCTCTGTTTGGGATCTCCGTCTCTGTGCTGCCTGCTCTCCACAGGCAGTAAGCTGGGCAGTTGTACCACTCACTCATCTGTGCCTTTCTCTTATCCTTCACTATTCGGGCTGCCACTCGTCCAGTGTCTTGAAACTGTGGTTTCATATATTTTGTGTGTTGAAAAAATTCTTTGAGGGCCAGAGTGGCAAATCTGGTTCCTGTTACTCTATCATGGCTGGATGTGGAAGTCTTCAACACTTAACATTTAATAAGGAAAGGTAATAGTAGTGATTCAGTGTTTCTCTTGCTGAAGAGTGTACTGGTTTTTTCCATTTGCATTTCATGTCTTAGGGGCCCTTTTATCTACTGACATTCTTACTTTGAATTACTATAAAAGTTTCTTCAAATATCACTCTCCTTTTTCTTTACAGTCATAGATAAAGCTGTCAAAAGAACAGTTATCAAAGAAATAGAAACATTTAAATTACTGGCATGATAAGCTTATTTCTTGCTGTGGCCATTCAGAATATCTATCTGTCACTGCCTTGGGTGCTCTGAAGTGAAGCTGTGCTTGGATATAAAAAGTTTTAAAACCCACTTTGATTCTATGTGAAGTTCACAGTTTTTAAAGTGCAGTTCCAGAGTTTAGTTCAGTAGAAATCGTATGACTCATCTCCAGAAACGAGAACCCTTTAGTGCGCTCTCACATGCTTGGAGTTAGACATTTCTGACCCACTGGGAGCCTGATAATCTTATTTATTTTTCTTTTGTTTTTTCACTCTGATTTCATAGCTGGTATGTTTTTAAAACATACTAACCATGATTGTTTTCTTTCTTTAATAATTTCTTATAAAATGAAAAAAAACCACCTAAAGTGGCAAGTTTGAAGTCAGATACTATAAAGAGGACTTGAAAGAGATCTAGTGGGATATCCAGTACAGTTTTATTTCCAGGCTGTGAATATTATCTTGCTGTGCTGGGCATGAGCTTCTTAGAACTGCCTCCAATCAGTAGTGCTGAGAATAGAGGGACCTTGTAGGAATGGTTTTTCTTTTAGGAGGTAGTTTTTCTTGCTAAGTATGCCATAAGAACTTGAAGAATGATTTTAATTTCTCATCTTAAAATGACCGTCTTATTGAGCCAGACTGTTTAACACTTGAAAGTTAGAACACATGGATTTGTCAGTGAATTTAAACGTGTTCATAGTCTCCATTACCCCTAAGTTGTTTGAGTAATATATTATATTCACATTGTAAATGGGTATTGATCTTCATTCAGTGACTAAATTGGAGCATCTCAATTCTCATGAAATTGCTGATTCTCTTCCACTTTGTAGGTATGCAGCCAGACATAAATTCCAGCCAACATTCCACAGATTTTCTTACCTTTGCTTCTTTATGCAGTATTCTTTAGGAAGTCGTAATGCTTTTTGGATACCAAAAAGAGCATGTTAATTGTCTTTAAAACAACAAACTTAATATATATTCCTTTGTGTTTTATTCTGCCTTGAAGGTACTTGAAGTTTATTGAGTTGCCCTTGTCTCAGAGGAAGTTTTGTCAAAGATGTCAGCAGTTGCTCTTACCAGACGACTGGGAGAAGCATGGTGAACATCAGGTAGTGGGTGATGTTTCCCTCACTCAGTTAAAAAGGCCCAGTCGACTCCTGTATCCACTGGAAAACAAGAAGACAAATGCCCAGTATTTGTTTGCTGATAGGAGCTGTCAGTTCTTGGTAGACCTACTTTCTACCCTTGGATTCAGAAGAGTACTGTGTGTTGGAACACCAAGGTATGTTACATGATTGTTTAAAAACTTCTCCTATCACCACTATGTAAACTGTAAAAAAAATTTATCACGTAGTTATTTACTATGTGCAGAGTACAGCATGAAGCTTTGAGTATACAAAGGAAGTATAAAGTATGGTCCCTCTCTTAAGGAGTTGGCGATTTATATTACATTTGAGAGGAATCTGTATAGATTTCTGATATATGATAGGAGATTCTTTCTGATTTGATTCCTAAATTGTTTATGATTTTAGACTTCTCTGTTTCAGATAAGTTCTACCCTTTTAAAAATATTTGCAAAGTGGAGACCTTGGTTATGTCTGCCAAATTCTCTTCAGTGTTTCATTGAAATATTAGAAATACCAGGAGAACCTTGATGGAGTTTTTTGTTTGCTTGCTTATTGTCTATGGCAGTTGTAATTTCTTATTAAATTTGCTTTCACTGATTGCTTTAGGTTGCATGAGCTGATCAGGTTGAAAGCATCAGGTGACAAGAAGTCTAACATTAAAAGCCTTTTGTTGGATATTGATTTTCGGTAGGTTTACAAAATATAATATTTGTTCTCCTTCATTGTCTCCTTTTCTTTTTAATGCTTTTCTCTTCTTAATTGTTTATTACCTGTTACAAGCCTTTAATTAACATTTATAAATAATAATTGGTTATAAGGCACCTTTGTCGTCATAAACTCGACATGTAATCTTCCCTGTTTCAAAAGGGGGCAGTCAATTTCTCTTTTTGCTGGTATGCTTCCTAAATTTTTTATTTGAATGTGTCTAGTTGTCTTTGGTTTATAATTTAGACATAAATTCCTATTGAGTAAAATTTCATCTCATATTGCTTATTTTTCAAAGATAATTCTGACCTTCCTCCAGAATTTTGTTTCATCATAATGTTTTACGTGTGATAGGGAATTTATTTTAATATAATTTACCAGATGATGTATATATTGTCTTTCACTGGACATAGCCCTAACATGAAGGGAGTGCTAACTAGGGAACAGACAGGTTCCAAGGCAGAGGATTAGCAAACAGATAAGCTTTGTGGGAGAGGGTGAGAATTAAACGGCATCTGATGTGTTGAGACAAACAGAGGTGAGACAGAGGACCACACCTTGAGTCTCTCCTCTGCTGGTAATTTAGAAGATACAGACTTTTGATTTATAACACAGCATGGCAAATATGTCCATCTACACTCTCTGTGATTCTGTAAATTTGAAAACTCTTCCTAGTTTCTGTAATCGTTTGAATTCCAGGCATTCATAGTGAGTCTGTAAGACACATGTTCTTAGTTATCTTTTACTTGTTCCTGAATGTATTGAAGGAATCAGGCATTGTGTTTCTTTTTATTTAATCTGATAGAGTCTCTTTGGGCAATATTCCAATATTTGTTGGAGAGAATCTATGAAATTACGTATGCTTTTTCTTTCTAAAAACAAGGCAGACAGATTTTTAAAGTGAAATAGCTTTTACAATTTATGTTTCTTTAGATTTCCAAGTCAACTTTAGATTGTCTGACCTAAAGCAGCTACATTTCTTAGAAATAACCCACATTTTCTGTAACCACGCATCCCTTATTAACAGGACTAGCATGTTTACTAATATCTGCTTGACACGAGTGATGCTCAGCAAAATGGAATTCCATAAGTGATATAGGTTTCTTCAAGATAAACTCAATTTCTTTTTTTTAACTGAGATATAATTCACTTACAATTTACCATTTTAATGTATGTATTTCAGTGGTTTTGGGTATATTCACTATGTTTTGCAACTATCACCACTATCTAATTCTAGAATATTTCCATCACACTGAAAAGAAACCCTGTACTCATTTCCTCTGACAACCACTGATGTGCTTTCTGTCTCCATGGATTTGTATATTCTGGATGTTTTATGTAAATGTAATTATACAATATGTGACCTTTGTGTGTGGCTTCTTTCATGTAGCATAATGCTTTTAAGGTTCATCCATGTCGTAGCATATAACAGCTTCATTCTTTTTATGACTGTACAATATTCCATTGTATGGAAATAGTTTCTCTTTTTGAATATCACATTCCTTTCTAAAGTATTATTGTTAAGTTATTATAAATATATTCTTTTAAAGGTAAAAGTTTAACTTTTGGGTTCTTATAATAAGAATATTAGCAATAACTGGTATTTATTGAGTGCTTGCCACTGTCAAACTGTGTTTTAACTCGTTGGTGCTCACAATAGCCCTCTAAATAGATGCTCTTATCCTCACTTTCCAGCTGAGAAAACTGAGATACAAAGAGGTTAAATAACTTGACTAAAGTTACAGTTTATTAATGGCCAAGTCAGGATTCAAACCTGGTCAGTCTGACTCCAAAAATTAAGTTATCCTCTGGGAAGAACTTTGCTTTTGAAAGTGTATGTAAGCCTTTCTTCTGTAGCCCGTTTCTCTCTTGTCATCCTTCTGTCTCTCTCTTTCTCTATCTGTTCCCCTGACTTGTTCCACAGAGGTTTTCAGAGGAGAATAACTGGTTTCCAGGTTATTCATATATTTAGAATAGGTACTCCTATTGGTCAGGAATCTATCACTGGAGGCCTGGAAATCCATTTATGTCAAAGACAATTTCTTGGCTCACAGCACTGGAGTCTGGGCTGTAGCAGGCTTCAGTACAGTCGGACCGTGCGCCTCACCCGTGTGGTTAGGGCTCTGTCTTTCTCTCTCCACCTCTTATTCTGTCTCCGTGTGGTGGCTTTCTTCTACAGATAGTGGCCTTCACTCTACAGAGACTTGGCTGGGGGGCAGCTTTCAGCTTACGTGGTTTCAGCTTAACTGCCCAGTGTAAAGAGGCAGTCTGTCCTGAGCACCCAGCAGTGAAACTCCAGGGAGGACTCTGCTTAGCTTGGCTGGGGTCATGTGTCCGTTCCAGAACCATCGCTGTGGCCTGGCAGGGAGCGTGCTCTGGCCAGCCCCTGATCAGCCACATGGGGTGGGTTCTTTGTAGGGAATAGGTGTTTGAAGGGGGGGCATGTAGGTGCTGGAGGGATGGAAACAGATGTCTACAACGGAATTATTCAAGGCCGCACATATCAGTTGTCAGCAGCGCTGAAATTCCTACCTTTGGCACTTTTACTTCAGTGGAAATGGTACAGTGTTGTCTTTCCAACATCTTTGAAGTTACATTAGAAATTATATAATGATTCTGATTTCATTAGAGAGAAGCTTTTTCCAAGTTAGTTGTGGTGGACTGGTTTATACACAAAGAAGCCAGAAAAAATCAGTGTTTCATATCAAAGAACTTGTTCAAATTCTGAGGATCCCTGGTTTATTTATTTTTTTCCTTTTTAAGAAAACATGATCTTTAATTTTGTCACCCAAAACATTCTGGATTTTGGCTTTTTAGGCTTTTTTATGCATATAAACATTTTAAAAGTAGAATCATAAAATATAGTCTTTTTTTCCACTCTGCTATGTTTCAGGCATATGTATTTTTTAATTGAGATATATTTCACATACATAAGACAGTGGTTTTTAGTATTAATCATGAGGTTGTGCAACCATCACCACTGTCTCATTCCAGAACATTTCTGTCACCTTTGAAAGAAACACTCTCCCAAGAAGCAGTCTCCCCTCATTTCCCGGAACCTCCCCTAGCCCTTGGCTACCACTAATCTACTTTTCAGTTTCTGTGGATTTGCCTATTCTGGATATTTCCTACAAATAGAATTATACAATATAAGACCTTTAGTGTCTGGTTTCTTCACTTAGCATAATATTTTCAAAGTTCATCCATGTTGTAACATGTATCAGTACTTCATTCCTTTTTTTTTCGGAAAGATTAGCCCTGAGCTAACATCCCACCAATCCTCTTTTTGCTGAGGAAGATTGGCCCTGAGCTAACATCTGTGCCCATCTTCCTATATTTTATATGTGGGACGCCTGCCAGAGCATGGCTCGATATGCAGTGCATAGGTCCGCACCCCGGTTCCAAACTGGTGAACTCCGGGCCAACGAAGTGGAAATGTGCAAACTTAACCGCTAAGTCACTGGGCTGGCCCCCTTCATTCCTTTTTATGGCTGAATAATACTGCATTCTGTAGATATGAAATTTTGTTTATCCATTCATCAGTTGATGGATATTTCAGTTGCTTCCACTTTTTGGCTATTATGAATAATACTGCTGTGAACATTTGTGTGTAAGTTTTTCTGTGAACATATGTTTTTGTATCTCTTGGGTATTGTATTAGTTTGCTAGGGCTGCCATAGCAAAATATCATAGACTGGGTGGCTTGAACAATAGAAATTTATTTTCTCACAGTTTTGGAGGCCAAAAGTTCAAGCTGTCAGTAGGTTTGGTTTCTTCTGAGGCCTCTCTCCTTAGCTTGTAGATGGCCGCCTTCTCACTGTGTCCTCACCTGGTCTTTTCTCTGTGTGTACACCCCTGGTGTCTCTTTGTGTGTTTAAATTTCCTATTCTTATAAAGACATGGGTCATATCCCATTAGGGTCCACCCTAATTACCTCATTTTAACTTAGTCACGTCTTTAGAGGCCCCATTTTTTTTTTTTTTAAGATTGGCATCTGAGCTAACAACTGTTTCCAGTCTTTTTTTTTCCTTCTTCTTCTGCTTCTCCCCAAAGCCTCCCTTGTATATAGTTGTACATTCTAGTTGTGAGTGCCTCTGGTTGTGCTATGTGGGATGCCGCCTCAGCATGGCCCGATGAGGAGTGCCGTGTCCATGCTCAGGAACCAGTGAAACCCCGGGCTGCTGAAGCAGAGCATGCGAACTTAACCACTCGGCCATGGGGCCGGCCCCTAGAGGCCCCATCCTTAAATACAGTCACATTGTGAGATACTGGGGTTAGGGTTTCAACCGATGAATTTGGGGGGGGAACATAATTCAGCCCAAACAGGTATATACCTTGGGAGTGGAATTATTGGGTCATATGGTAACTCTATGTTTAACTTCTTGAGGAGCTGCCAAACTGTTTTCCAGGGTGACTGCACCATTTTACATTTCCACCAGCCATGTGTGAGAGTTCTAATTTCTCCACATCCTTGCTAACACTTGTTATTGTTTGTCTTGTTGATGTGATATCTCATTGTGGTTTTCTTTTGCATTTTATTGATGGCTAATGATGTTGAGCATCTTTTCACGTGCTTGTGGGTGATTTGTTTATCTTTTTGAGGTAGGTTTATTCAATCTTTTGCCCATTTTTAATTAGTTATTTGTCTTTTTATTGTTGAATTGAAAGAGTTCTTATATATTCTGGATACCAGACCCTTATCATATATATGATTTACGAATGTTTTCTCCCATTTTGTCGATTGTCTTTTTGCTTTTGATGAAGTCCAGTTTTTTTTCTTTTTTCTTTGGTTGTTTGTGTTTTAGCTGTCATATCTAAGAAACTATTGCCTAATCCAAGGTCATGAATATTTACACTTCTGTTGTTTTCTAATTTTAGCTCTTACATTTAGGTCTGATCTATTTTGAGTTCATTTTTATATATGGTATGAGGTAGGGGTCCAACTTTATTCTTTTGCATATGGCTGTCCAGTTGCCTCAGCATCATTTGTTGAAACAATTATTTTCCCGTTGAATTTGCTTAGTACCTTATTGAAAACCAAATGACCATAAATGTATGTGTTTATTTTTGAACTGTTAATTCTGTTCATTGATCTTTGTCTGTCATTATGCCAGTCCCATGCAATCTTGATTACTGTTGCTTTGTAGTAAGTTTTGAAATTAGGAAGTGTGAGTCTTCCAACTTTATTCCTTTTCAAGATTGTTTTGGCTATTGTGGCTTCTTTGCATTTCCATGCAAATTTTAGGATCAGCTTGTCAATTTCTACAAAAAAGCCAGCTGAGATTTTTGTAAGGAGTGCATTGAATTTGTCGGTCAATTTGGGGAGTATTTCTATCTTAACATTTAAGTCATCCCGTCCATGAACATGATATGTCTTTCCATTTATGGAAGTCTTTTTTAGTTTCTTTAAATATTTTGTAGTTTTCAGTGTACAAGTCTTGTACTTCTTTTAGTAAATTTATTCCTAAATCTTTTATTCTTTTTGTTGCTATTATAAATTAAATTGTTTCCTTAATTTCATTTTTTATTGTTCATTGCTACTGCCCTGATTTCCTTTTTAAAAAAATTGTGGTAAAATACACATAGCATAAAATTTACCCTGTTAACTGTGTTTAAGTGCATAGTTCAGTAGTGTTAAAGCACTTTCACATCTTTGTGCAGCCATTCTCCAGAACTCTTTTCATCTTACCTGATGTACTTTTAATTTGAAAGATTTATATGGCCCTTAAATCTTTTGCCTTAAATGCCATGCCTTTGTAGATTTACTTTTCTTGATCTTGTGGTTGAAATCTCCTGTAGGGAGTAGGGGATGTGGATAAAGTTATTTTATAACCTATAGAATGCACTGATACTTTTTTCTTTTCAAGTCTGTAAACCTCTGTGTATGTGTTGCAAACAAAAGCGGAAGGTGTTGTGTTAGGGATCTCCCAGCTTAGTGTCTTTGATGCCGTACTCTACCCTACGGTCTGCACGGAGTCAGTTCTGTAAAAGGTCAGCAGTGGGCGTTGAGAGAGCTGGGTTTGAAGCACATCGGTAGCCAGAATGAACTCAGTCTGCTGCCTTTGTTTACAGTATGATGGAGCGTGTGGTTGGTTCACATTTCTCACAAGGAGCACAGTTAAATCTGGAAAACCTTCCTGTTTGGTATAGAGTAGCAGTGAATTGTTAGTTTTGGCACTTTGACTTTGGTTTGCTGTTCCCTGTGAAAGATCTGTCCCAGGCTGCAGAGAATGGCTTCAACTCCAGTGTTCTATGTGGATGTGCTATAAATATCGTTTTCAGGGGGTCTAGGATATGAAGTTAACATTTGCTAAGATGGATTTCTGTATGCTCTAATTTTAGCATGAAAGATGTGAGACGTGAAACTCTGTTTGGCAAACTATCATCCAAATAAAGTTATATCAAAAAAATGAATTTCTTAGGTTCATTTCATGAACTAATTTTATTCTGCTCTTGATTACATTTCCTGGGTGTAGAGCATGTTTCACACTTGGTAACTGACTCTCATTTAAAGAGAATGAATGGCCAATTAAATGAATGTCCTTTTGAGCAGTTTTCAAGTGCCTGCATTTCTGATTGGTTTTGTTTGCCTGATTCAATGGAGAGAATAATTCTTTCTGGCCAGTTTCATTTTAAGAGGGTAATGTTGAGTGATTTTTCATAACTTAAAATATGAATAATTATGCTTCCTTGTTTGTATTTGATGGAATCTTAGAGCCAAAATCTTGGCTTTTTTTCTCTCTAGCTCTGCCCACTGCTGTCCAAAATGTTTTGGACAAGTGTGCTGTGCTGAATTTTATGTAAATAAAATTTTCTTTTTTAATTTTTAAAAGTGACCATTGTGTTTTGGTGAAGCAATAAAAAAAAATGGAGAGGGAGTAGAAATATATTTAAAAAGAGCTTGTATTTTCCTTTGCTCACATTCACAAAACATTGCAAGAGAGAAGAAAAGCTCAAATGATAGTTGACCTACAACCGTACTAGTATTGAGATAAATATGAGTGAAATAGGAAGACCTTTATTAATGGTAATTGACATTGTCTCAGTTTTTGGATTGTTCATTGGGTTACAATATATAGTTTAAATATTTTTCAGTTATCTAAACCTGTTGTTTATTTCTTCAGTGCAAATTTATTTTTTATGAAATCAGCAGATATGCTAAGAATATCTTAAATGATATTAAGAGATATTGTACTGAGAATGGTGGAGAGCTGTTCATCCATCTCCACAGAACAAGAAACGGGCTTAGATTATAGGAGGAGAAATTTGGGTTGGACATAAACATAACTCCCTAATATTAGGGACATTAAGACATAAATCTTTTTAGTTGATATTTATTAAAATAATGATACCTAACATTTCAGTATATGCTGTGTAGCTGGCCTTGTGTTAAGCACTTTACCTACATTGTCTCATTTATTCTTACCAAGTCCTATCGGGTAGAAACTATTAATTTCTTCCATTTTGTAGATGAAGAAATTGAGGCTCAGATAGATTAAATAGCTTACTAAAGTTCCACAACTCGTAAGTGAGAGACCCAGAGTTTGAAACCAGACCGTCTCACTAGAGATGGTGCTCCTGACCACAGTAGAACCAGAAGAGGATGAATCAGAAATGGTGACTCAGTTACAGGCAGGAATCAGTAACCAAGAGTATACGTGGAAGCAGAGACATGCTGCTGTCATGATTTGGTTAAAGAAGTGGTAGAAGTAAAGATGTGGCCCTGATTTTTTTTCTTTTTGAGGAAGATTAGCCCTGAGCTAACTGCTGCCAAGCCTCCTCTTTTTTTGGCTGAGGAAGACTGGCCCTGAGCTAACATCTGTGCCCATCTTCCTCTACTTTATGTGTGGGACGCCTGCCACAGCATGGCTTGTCATGCGGGGCCATGTCTGCACCCGGGGTCTGAACTGACGAACCCCGGCCCGCCAAGAAGCGGAACGTGCGCACTTAACCGCCTGATTTTTATCAGTCTTTTCACCAGGTTATGTATTCCTTACAAGGATGGTGTGGTTCATGTGTGACTTGTTTATAACAAAATTGTTGAATTTCAAAATCCTATTGAGATAACAAAGAGGTTTCTATATGTGAAAAACTGAGAAATCAGCAAGGAAGACATTAAGACCCATATATATAAATGAGGAAAACGTAGAGATAGACAGTTCAAATACAATTAAGGAATAAAGAAATCTCAGTCTTGTAAGAAATCAGGTAAATGCAGATTTAAACCATAATGTGGTATGAATTTTGCCTAGTAAATTAGCAAAAATTTATAAAATGTTAATACCCAAAGCTGATACTCATTCATTACTGATTGCATTTTAAAGTAGTATTTTAGAAGAATAAAATGATTCGATCAGTAAATAAATATCCCTCTTTCCTGGCAGTAATTCAGTAAATATGAAATGCACATAGTTCTTTTTCTTTTATATTAAGAAGCATACTTTATTAAGCTAATCTGCAATGGACAAGAAAAGCTGTATTAAATACTTTTTTTCATTAACCACAGAAGAAAATAATTAACAGCTGTTGAGCAGAATTGTTGATTCAGTATTTTTCTTAAAATTGCTGACTATGAGAGATGTATTTTAATTGCCAACCCATCTCGAGTTTAAATTGCATAATAATCTATCAGTAATCTGATTGCTTATGTGTGATCTTCTGGCCCATAGGAACATGTGTATTTTATATATGAGTATTCCTTGGTTTTGCTACTGGCTTTTTAAACTGGGGAACATAATTTAAGTTTGTTATTCATTGACTTTTACCAACTCCCTGAGATTTTGTGAAAATATTTTTTATTTCAAAGAACTAAAGAATGATGAAATTGATTTTATTAAAGGTGTGATTTCATAGTTTTAAGAGTTAGTTTATATTTATTTATTGTATAGCTGTGGCTGGACAAGTAACCCCAGTAATAAACAAATTATTTTACAGGTATTCACAGTTTTATATGGAAGATAGCTTTTGCCATTATAACATGTTTAACCATCACTTCTTTGATGGAAAGGTAAGAATTATGATCATTATCTCTTCTCTTTTAGTGGAAGAACAAGTTCAAGTGTACCACCTTCGTTATTTTTCTAAAGTCCGTCAAGATCGAGTTGTGGCTGTTCACCATCTATTGATATTTCTTTTTGTTCATTCACTGAGTGTGTATTGAGCATCTAGAAGTAATCATGTTATTTCTCTTTTGTGACTTTCCACTGCTTTTTGAATAAAGACCCACTCTCTTAGCCAGGCCCGCATGGCTCTGTGATCTGGGCCCTGGCACTCTCCAGCTTCTCCTCTCCCTGTTCCTGCTTTGCTGTGTGTGTTCAGGGCACATGACTTTTATCTCAAACCGGCCCTTCCACCACGGGGGCTTTTGCCCACCCTGTTTCCTTTGTCTCTACTCTCTCTGTGCCTTCTTAACTTCATCTCATCCTCCAGAGCTCTGTTCCAAGTCACTTTCTCCAGCCTCCCCTGACCACCAGACAAGATGAAGTTCTCCTTTGTAGATTTACGCTACTGTAATTCATTCTGTAGTTAGTTGTTTGGTGTCTGTTTCTCTGATAAATTTTATGTCTTGGTTAAGGGATTTTATGGTTTTATTAAAGTAATCCTTAAAAAATAGTGTCAAGAGTGAACCCTAATGTAAACTGTGGTCTCTGAGTCATAATGATTTGTCATTGTAGGTTCATCATTGTAACAAATGTACCACTCTGGAGGGGAATGTTGATAATGGGGAAGACTCCACGTCTGGGGGCAGGGAGCATGTGGGATATCTCTGTACCTTCCTCTCAATTCTGCTATGAACCTAAAACTACTCTAAAAAATAGTCTTAAAAAAAAAAGATAGTGGCTTAAAAAAAGCTTCTTTCAATATGATATTAATAACTTCACTGTGAGTAAACAACGCAGCAGAGCTGATACTGCTACTCCTAGTTTGAGCTCTTTCTCAGTCCTATTATAAAACAGAAACTATAACCACCCAAGTAATCACACCTGACAGGAGGTTGGCCAAAAATGTTTTGAAATTATCAAGACTACTTGAAGCATATCCATACATATGTGTGTATATATCAGTTTTTTAAAAAATTGTGAACCATGCTTAAGTATATATTGTGCTTTAAGATATTAGCTAATGATGGAGTGACAACCAAGCAAGACTGACAAACTAAGCATTCAGGGAATTAAAACAAATTCTAAATTGTTGGTTGGGATTGAAAAATGAGTCTCCTGATTTAGTGAGTATAGCCAGTGATGCCCTCCTTCCATCAGAATCAGTATTGGGATATATATTTTTCAGCTGTGATAGCCATGAAAACCAAGTATTGAAATAAATAGCAGTTAGAATTAGATGTATTTCACAGTTTCCCAAAGGGCTTATGTGGTTGATGATCACTAGGATTTGAGAACTGATTACATGAGCATGAAGGAGGGCGAGGAATTGAAAAATCACCTGACAATAGATAATGAGGGACTTCTCAACTAGGGCAGTGGCAGTGGGAAAAAGAGAGGAAAGATAGTGGATTCTGTAGGTGTTGCCCAGATGAAACAAGAAGACTTGGTGATAAGTGTACTAGGGGAGAAGTCAAAGATAACTTGGTGGTGGCTCGGATTTGTATTTCATTCTTCTAAACGGAGGGTAGGGAAGTTCTGGAGTGAAGTTTGGCAATATTGAGTTTGTGGGCTCATGGAATACTGGTGTGAAGGTGTCCAGGATGGCCTCTTGAACCCGTGGGACCGTGAGCTCGGGGGTCTGGTCAGGGCTGGCGACATGCTGGTGAGGAGGTGGCTGAGGTTATGTTACTGCTCGATGCTGCTGCAGTGGGTCAGGACTTATTCGTTTATTTGTTAATCCTATACCATGATTTTGCTTTTTATTTTGAACAATAATGGCAAGAGTAAAATTACATTTAAATACCTAACGGTTGGCTAGCAATTTTATATATTTTAAGAAAGTAACATGTAATTAGCCTTTTTCTAGGAAATTCTATATAACATTTATTGAAAGTTTATAGAATTGCCTTATAAATTTCTAACATAATGGTTGGAAAAAGCTACCAAGACTGAGCTCCACTTTATCTTTCTCAGAAGCAAACAGTTGTCCAGCTCAGGCTTCCCTTTCTCTAGATTTTAGGAACACCCTCTAAATAGCGCTGCAGCTGTAGAGACGGATCTATAGAAAACCATTGTTTTAAGGATTTCACTATCTGCCCTTTTCCTACCTACTTCCTGAGTCAAGGTTTTCAGTAGAGACTTACTATCTACTAATCAATCACTAAGTATTTAAGCATCTGCTCGGGGCCTGGGCAGGTGTCCAGGGTGCGTGGGGGATATGAGCCCTGCCACTGCACAGGAGCACTCGCAGCCACTGGATTAAAGAGCGGGAGTTCCTGCACGGGGTTTCCTCACGGCAAATAGTACAGTCTTTCAGGTAGTAAAACATGTCATGTGCCTTAATGGTCAAGGGGGTTAAAAGATGTATAGAGGATGGCTATTTAAAATGCCAAGCACTTTTTTAGTGATAGATGAAGAAAAGAGTTCAGGTACTGTCAGCATTGGTGGCATAATCAAACATCTGTTTTCTGTAGGTGGTCAACATTAGGACCCTCAGCAACTCATGTGGGACGTTACACCATTGATTCTTACCTGGAAAGATTCTTTAATTTTTTTTTTTAATTTAGTTAAGAGTTTAGGCATAGTTTGTTTTTTCTTTTTTTCTACTTTTAACTCTAAGGAATTTGAAGGTTTTTCAATAATGTCAATGGTACTTTAAGTCCTTGTTCGCGTAGGCAGGTCAAGGAAGTGCCAGGCAGCACTTGAAAGATGACCACCCTTCCTGACGCACCATCCTTTCTGTAGGACTTCCAGTAGGAAGCTAATAAAGACTCTCCTGGGGGAAAGGGATTAGGGTGTTGTGGATTTTTCTCTCATCAACTGGGTCTTCTAAATTGATTTAGTAGTAGAACAATATATATTTTATTATAAAGTACATATAGGTTTATTAAAGTTTAAAATGCCATTAAACTTTAAAATCTCATGCCATTTTGTATACTGTAAGTGTTGATTTGCTTTTATAGCTAAGTACTTGAAAACTGCTACAAAGTCAGTAGTCTCGAGTTAGTATGACAGGTATATCTCTTATTAACTTCTCCCAAAGCAAAAAATGACAAATATCCCTGACAGTGGTTAATGTCAACTTTGGGATTATTAGAAACACTTCAATTTGTTGGGAAAATGTGTTAATAGCATGATTTCATGGCCTGGATAAGCTTTGTTATTTGTGAACGTTCATTTATTTACTTACTGTGCATGTTCAAATATGTTTGTCATTTACCTGATGCTCGAAAACATGTGCATGTTTAACTGGTAATTTGTAGCTCTGATTACACGGCAGTGGACAAACCGGAGAGGAAAGGAATCTCTTATTCGTCTTTGTGTCCCAGTGCTCAGCGCAGTCCCTGCTTCTGTTTGTTGACCTGAATTTAGCCTTTTAGATAGTCTTCATGGGTAATGAGTTTCTCTCTTTTAGGTTACTAAATTTAGTTGTTTAATTTAACCATTTGAAATGTGTAGTCCTCTGATAGTGATGGTGTTTGAATTTGCAATTTTAAAAACCTGCCTATCAGGGAACTCAAAGATAACATCTTTGGGGGCTGAATGAGAGGCTTCAGCATGTCACTGAGGGACCCCAAGGTGGCAGGATGGGTGAAGTTTCAGTACGAAGAGTGAGACTGAGCCTAATGCATTTTCCTCCAAGTAGGATGAAGTGTCACCCTCTGGTCCTAATTTAGAAATGAATTTTTATTTGTTCCAGGCTGCCCTTGAAGTATGCAGAACATTTTTACAGGAAGATAAAGGTGAAAGAGTCATTATGGTGACAGATCCTCCTTTTGGTGGCTTGGTTGAACCTCTGGCTGTTACATTCAAGAAGTTAATTGCTATGTGGAAAGAAGGTCAAAGCCAAGGTGTGTAATTTATTACTTACTCCAAAGTAAACATGTATCTATGTATCTGCTTCCTGTCAGATATTAGCAGAGCTCAGTGAATCAGAGCACTGATAAAATATACATGTCTTAGGTTCTTGTCTTTTTTTTAAACAGGTGTATTTGATGATGTGGCAAACTTCATTATCATGATATACTTTGTATTATCCTAATCATGTGTTTTTAAAATTGCTCATAGGTAAGACATTTGTTTTTGATAGGCATAAGAGGATATGAAGAATAGCAGTGAACTGTTGTCATTTATTCAATAAATATTTACTAAGTGGCCACTGTGTACTAGGTACTGTTTAGGTGCTTGGAATAGGGTAGTGAACAAGACACATATCTTTGCCCTCATGGACCTTATATTCCATGTGCCTGAAGTCTTGCCCAGAACTCAAAGAGGGCACCCAGGAGCTGGCCCAGAACTTCAAACTGTGCCAAGATTTGAGTGGGAAGATTGGATGTCCGCTAGCCTAGCTGTGGTTATTACTGGCACATAGATGCCCAGATAGATGGAGGTGGGTTAATGGCTGGGAGTTATTGTTCTGTTTAAAGTGGTTGAGGACTTCAAAGTATTTTGTATAATTGTCTCGTTAGTTGGTATGTTCATTTTTTAGTTTCCATAGCTTGCAAGTTGATAAATTCTAAGTGTATCAGGAATTTTTGATCAAGCTTATCTATTAATTGTGCTACACAGATAATGTGCTTTGAGGACAGAATGCAAACAAAATCTAAAACATGACTCATAGTGTTAAGTATTCTGCTCATTTTTGGTTCTTAAGTTCAGTTATCAGAGTGGATGCAGTCAGTGTCATTGGGGAAGCAGTAAGAGCTTTGTAGGCTTCAGTTCTGGTTCTGCCGCTTATTAGCTGCGTGAACTTGAACAAATTACTTAAATCATGTGGCTTCAGTTTCCCCATCTGTAAAATGGGATTATTAATATCTAACTCTAGGGGTTATTGTAAGGAGATAATATATGAAAAGTACATAGCATTGTATACAGCTGATATGAGGTGCTCCATAAATAATAGCTGTGTCCCCTGCCTCTCATAGAAATTAACTTTGATAAGATTGTTTTTAAGACTCTTCCATGATTAAGAAAAGATTGATTCATCCCTGAAAATGGACATAGTGAGTTGTGGCAGAGCTAGGATCAGACCCAAGGCCTCTGCGTTCTAGTCCAGGATTCCCTCCACACATCATGACTACCTTGGTGCTTCAAAGTGATGCTCCTTTTTTATTTCCCACTTTTCTGGTAATATCTTTGCCTTTAACTAGACTATAGTGATATGCATGTAAGGATTACTTTTACATACCCTTTGTAGCTGTCTTTAGATATAAAAGAACCTTTATATATAAAAGTTTCCATTGACTTTTGGGAAAGATCATGTTATAAATGGCACTCTGGTAAACATTCTCTTTTTTTGTGTGATTTAGATGTTTTGAATGATTTCATTTTCTTCCATTAGCAGAAATTTTCCAGTTATAGATATCTGTTTTATTTTTTCTTTAATATCAGTTTCTCATTTTCTTTCCCCTTTTTTGTGGTTCATTAGATAACAGTCACAAAGAACTACCCATTTTCTGGATTTTCCCCTATTTTTTTGAATCCCGAATTTGTCAGTTCTTTCCAAGTTTCTGCATGCTGGATTATCAGGTATAGTAAATATTCTGTTTTCTGGCATGGTTGGGGAATGTATATTCTGCTTAAATATTCTGATAAGACTAGCCATTTATTTAAGTAAATGAAAAGACTATAAGCTGTATTAAACACTAAAATTATGCATTGTGTAGCTTAGTCCAGTGGTTCCTAAATGTCTGTAATCTGTTGGGTGCTTGTTAAAAATATAGACTCTTGGGTACCAAAATAAACCTACTAAATCAAAATCAGAGGGTAAAATCCCAAGGAGAAAAATATTTTACTAAGCTTCCTAGGTGATTCTGATGTGCAGCTGGGTTTTAGACCAACTGATCTAATCTTTTATCATCACCAGAAGGTTTCGCAGCACCCCAGGGTCATTATGAACATGGGTTTTCTCTGTTCAAGGTTGTAGAGGAGTAAATCGCCTTTTCTGGTTGGTGGAATGCCATATACACTTTACTCTGCCACTCAGAGGATGGCAGGAGCTCTAAGGGGCCATGTTCCCAAGGTCGTGGGGTGTCACAGAAGCAGAGATGCTGAGGTCTGCTTGTTAGTGTGAGTATGCTCATCCAGGGTGGAATTGACTAGACCTCCTTTGCATCTCTGCCCACGGCCCTGGGAACCTGCCTTCGATGAGAATAGACACCAGTGGCCGTGGTGGCTCCACCCTGCCCTCAACTCATGTTTCTGCTTTAATGTCCACTTTCCTGTATTCATCTCCCAGGGTTCTGAAGTTAACCCCATTGTTGTCATCACTATGTGTGGTCACCAGATGGGCACTGCTTCCTCTTTTGTAATTATATTTTGCTATTTGCGTTTTGAGTTTTCTGAGCAGTTGGCTAGCCTCTGATTAAGACTTTTCAGCTCAAAACTGTAAATGTCTTCGCTAGTTGTTCCTAGCACTTAGTTCTAATCTTTCTGATCTTGAATACATAGACCACTATGAAAATTATTTAGAAATTCTGAAAGAGACAGTGTTACCAAAAGTGAGAGGACAGACCCTACCTGTGGTTCCACCCCAAATAGCAATATTATAATTTTGAAGTATTCACTTCCAGTCTTTTTAGAAACAGTTTTACGTATTGGTAATCATAGAGGATGAATTTGAATTTTACTTTCTTTACTGTGTCTTATATAAGTGTACATTTTTAAAGGTAGCTACATAGTCTTTATGCTTTTAATAACTTTAAATCATTTCATTGACAGGCTTTGTTATCATTTTCTTCTTTCTGGACTTACAGGTTGCTTCCACCTTTAAGGTACTATAAATAGCACTGCCATAAACATCTTTTATTCATATAATTTTTCCATGTTTTACATAACTTCTTTAAAATAAATTCCCAAAACTAAAATAGACTTCCAGAAATTACATTATCAAATTTAAATTTTTATGGCTATTGAACCATATGAACAAGTTTCTTTCCAAAAGTGTGTAGCATCAGGCCATTTTAACTTTGACTTCCTGAGCTCTGCTTGAGGCAGAATCCACATCATGATTTTTCTCAAAGCTGGTTTACTTTCCTCTTCTGGGCACCAAAAGGGCTTTCTGTTTCTTGTCTGAGGGATGCTTCTAGTATTACACTTGCAGTACAGAGAGAGCTGACATATCCCAAAGATGTTAACTAAGTAAACTAGTGCTGGTTTCCAGGAGCACCCGCTGCCCTTGACAGTGAATAATTACCTAGTACCATGCTTGGCACATAGTAGGTGCTCTGTACATGTTGAATCAATAGTTGAACTGAGTTTTAATCCTGGTTCTGCCACTTAGTAGCTAGGCCTACACATTTTATCTAACTCTCTGAAGCTCATCTTACCTGTTAAATGAACATAGTAATAATATATCTAACTCATAAGGTTTCAAGCATTATATGAGAGAATATATTAAACAGGCTTAGCCTGGGCCCTGACACACAGCAATGTGGAGGAAAGGTTATTGCTCTCAGCATCGTGGTCACCATCGCTGTATTGTCATCATTCAGATAGTTGCAGGGTGGGGGTAAAACGCCTCTTCAGGTCCTTTTTTCGTACAGTATCTGAGACATTAAAATTGCAGAACACAAGGTCCCTCAGAAAACTGTCCACATTTAGAGATGAGTTTTCACTGTGGGCAAGAGTTTGAAACAGTGAGGAGGAGAAAGAAGGCAGATCCAGAATAAAGCAGCTGAGAGAGTTAACGTGGAGTAACCAATTATCGTTTGTGTAGACAGCCTGTGCTACTCGGAAAGAGCGTGTAGAAATATTGGAGTTTCAGTTTTGAGAAATAGTTCCAAAGTCCAAGCTTATTGGAAATAATTATACAGTTCAGTGTATTGGTGAAAAAAGGTTCTACTTCACCCATGCATATCAGGGTGAAAATCAGTCTTTTCAATAAAGAGAAAAGACTTTATAAAGAGACTGAGTAAAGAGAAAGACTTAATAAATATGTCTTATAAATATTAATTCTTACAAAGACTTAATAAAGAGAAAAACCTTTGAAAAGAAAAATTAGAATAAAATCTGTAAAATGAAACAAACCTTTGTTTTTATGACTCCTCCTGAAGATAAGAACACTACTGCCCGTTACCTGCTCAGTAGGAGAAACCGATTACGCGCATCTCCTAGCGTATGTATTAACCTTATTTGTTGTCCCTCCCCTTTGAGGATTTTTCTACTATTTTTTTTGAAAATTTCTCTGGACTTACCATTATCTTTTCTGAGCCTTTTTCTTTCTTGAACCTCATTTTGCAGTCTTTTTTTCCTTTTATATTAGCACTTTCATCAAATGAAAAATTTGAAAGACTGCTCTCCTCCTTACAGATCTTCTCCCGCAGACCTTGATTAGGCCTTCTTTCTGACATTGCCTAAGATGATTATAAGCCCCCATGCCACAATGCAGTAAAAAAACCAAAATCACTAAATCCCTTTTTTGTGAAATACTTTTCAGGTAAGAGGAAGGCGGAAATGCTGCAAATCCTCATAAAATATAAATTATGTAGGCTCTTCAGTGATAAAGCACTTGATGAGTACAGAAAAAAATACTTATCAGAGACCTAGAAAACCAAGAGTTTTATTAAGGGCAGTTTGGAAAGGAAGGATGTGATAATGACAGGAAATTCTGATTTACAGGCAGGAGACGTTTTGAGTCCTCGCACTGCCTTTTAGAGGCTGTTTAATCTTGGCGGAAGTCACTTTATCTTTCCAGGTCTCTGTTTCCTTACCTATAAAATAAAATGATTGAACCAGAAAAGGGATGGCAGATGAGTTTCACTTTTAGTGCTGAGCTTGATAAATTGGTAGTGACTTTCTGGAGCGTTTGTTGAGAATACCAGGCTCGATGGCCGAGGGTTATTGTGATTGATTAGTGATGTCTGCTGCAGGGTCAGGGTCAGGTCAGGGAGTCGTGGTGGCATTCAGGTCCAGTATTTACCGTGTCTGAACTAGACCATCTCAGTTCCCTTCTACCTTGAACATGCTGTAATCTCTTATTTCTGCTTAATCTGGGACATTTGTCTGGATTGTTAAAAGTAGAGCTCTGTTTTTTGGGGTTTTTTTTGTGAGGAAGATTGGCTTTGAGCTAACATCTGTGCCAATCTACCTCTATTTTATGTGGGATGCTGCCACAGCGTGGCCTGACAAGTGGTGCTAGGTCTGTGCCCAGGATCCGAACCTGCGAACCTCAGGCCACCAAAGCAGAGCACACGAACTTAACCACTACACCACCGGGCCAGCCCTGAGCTCTGCCTTTTTTTAAAGCTGTCTTTTTAAAAATCATCTTGTATAGAACCTGTGTTTTTCAAGGCCGGTTTCACATTCAGAAATGAAGATATTTTGACAGGAATTTCTGAGAAGTAATTATAAATTACAGGATGGCAACTGGACTACTTAAAACTCAATATATAATAAACATAAGATATTTAATGGGTTTGGAGTGACAAGAGGAATAACATATATATATATATAATAATTTTAAATAAGAGGTTTCATGGGATATGGAGAACATGACTCAAAGATCTTGTGGTCGATGTTGGCTATGGAGCTGAAGAGTTTGCTTAAGATCTTTTGAATATACTGAAATTAAAGAGAACACAATCCTTAGGGAGTTACGAAAGTACAGATACTCTGTTTTATTTAGTCTTTGTTTTCCGGCATGATGCCTGGTGCATAGTAGGTGCAAAATAAGTGTTTGTTGACTTGAATGTCTTGGTTTCCATATAACTAGTTTCAGTCGCATGTTACAGAAGAAATTTGCGTACAGATAAAATTAAAAGTTAGGAATTGCAGAGATTTTGTGCTTTCCCTCATTTCTATACAGTACTTCATCACATTAATCAGTTCCATGGGAGAAATTTTCTATTTGAAAATGCCTCTCATCATCATTGTGAGTGAAATGTCAGGGATAATGATGGGAAAATGGTGTATCAGCTCTACCACTAGTGATATGCAATTTGCAAAATTGTGTTTGCTTTACAGCACTTCCATAGGAGGTTTATTTGTGTGGATGAAGCTATGAAATATGGATGTATGTTAGAGGTACATTAATTTACCCTAGCAGCATGCGTTTTACATACCATATGTTTATAGTTAATTAGCACAACAAACCCGCATTTAAAAATAATAATAATCTCAATTAGGTTATGCAAAATCAAGCAATCAACCACCTTCCTGACACATGCATTCTCTGACTCCTTGGGTAACCATAAAGAAATTGTTCTTTTTTTCCTCTCTTCCATCTGCTATCTATTATATTGCATGGAATATTCTATTTACTAGAAATCTTTCTAAGATGTTCTTTTCCAACATTTGAAAATCTTCATAAGATTCTCTTGGGAAGAATTTTTTCTCTTCTGACACTTGTAAATGTTCAAAATATCTTTGTTGAATTTATTAAGGTGCCATATATTTATTGAGTACATAGAGGAGTGCATTAGGGAAAAATTATCAATTTAAATCATTTTAAAAGAAAAGTACTTAATGTGCTTAAGGTGATTTTGAAGTAAAATCTACTTTTGTATGGTAGCTTCTAGCAGGTAACGTACATTCATAGAATTGTAAAGTTGAAAAGAAACATAGAGATAACGTCGGCTAACTTCCCAGTGTAATCCTCCTTCCCACTAAATTCATGACAAGCAGTCTGTCTAGCCTTTCACTGCAATGCTTTCAGTGAGCAAAGTCCTACAGCCTTACAAGGCAACTCAATTTATTTAATAGCTCTAATCGTTAGAAAATTTTCTCATATTGAGATAAAATATGTTGTCTATTAACTTCTAACCATTGGTCCTACTTCTTTTCTTCGAAGTAATAAAAGATGTCTAATTTCTATTCCACATGACACCCCTTCAGTTATAAAATAGCTATCAGATCCTCCCAGTCTTCTCTTTTCTGAATAAACACTCCCAGTATGTTAGAGTATAAATCTTATTTGTTCCCTGTGCTTTCAGTAGAAATGAACTGGTTTTATCAATGTCTCTCATAAAACGTAGTGACCTGAAGGCAAGGCTGCAAGTGTGATCTAACTTCCTCCTTTGTTTGTGTGATATCACACTTCTGTGTTGCCAGCTGTGGGCCCGCACCAGCTTTTCCACCGTCAGGCCCGAAGCCCTTCGGGTTTTTTTCACGCTGTCCCTGTAGCTGGGTCTCCTCATCTGTGCCTATTTTCCCCCGCTGCTGAAGCGTCCTAACTTTGTTCACCCGTAAATCTAGCAGGCATTGGCAGGGCCGTAGAGAGAGATCAGGAATCTCCCATCAAAGGCCTCTCTTCCATTGTCATTAATGCCTTACATTTTTGTGATTTGCTTATTAAATAGCTAGCTTGCAAGCCACTTCTTTTGTAAATTCCTAAGTGTATTCTTGTTTAGAATCTAAACAATTCATTACAACTTATTTGAAAGTTGGGATCTACCTGTCTTGACCTCCTAAAAATCTCATGGTATTCTTGTGGATGATCTAAAGAAGTGGTTCTCAAACTTCAGTCTACCAGGAGGGCTTGTTAAAAATACAGATTGCTGGGCCCCACTCCCAGAGTCTCTGTTTTATTTGGTCCTAGGTGGGGCGAGAATTTGCCTTTCTAATAAGATCCCAGGTGATGCTGATATTGCTGATCCAGACACTGAACTTTGAGAAGTACTGATCTAAAGGAAGATGGACTTAGTGGCCAGGTGCATTCATAGCAGGTTTAAAAACAAATTGAGAATGTGTATGGATAATAGAGAGGTTGGAGGAGATGGGAGCGAGAAGCTAAATAAAGGAAATCACGTTGTTAGCTTCAGTTTACTTTCAAGGTAATCTGCTGAAACTGAAAGCTGAGTTAGGGATCTTGAGGAGAGAGGTAAATGTTTGATTACTGGTCATTATGGGGAGAACAACTATACTTATGAATCTCTCTTATCACCTCCAGCTTTCTGTCTATCTCTATCATATGCCAGGTTCTGAACTCAGTGTTTATATTCGTTCTCTCATTTAACCTTCACAGCAGCTCTGAGGTAAGTATCAGCAACCTCCTTTTCCAGTTGAAGATTATACAAATTTGCCTCAGGTAACATAACAAGTGAGTGGCAGAACCACTGTCTGGCTCCCAAGCCTGTGCTCTGTGAAACGGTGGCTGGTGGAGGCTATGCTGAGGCTGTACTGAGACTGGGTGAGCTGGAAACTGACGGGTAGTGAATTTCACACACACGAAATGAAAAGCTCCAACCAAGCCGGTGCATATCTTCAAAGGCGGAATTTTTTATTGCCAAAAGCTCAATTCTTAATTACATAATAGCTGTTCTTGTAAAGTCTGTTGTATTGAATAAAAGATTAGAGTTGTTCTCTTAATACTAGGCAACATGAATTTGTCATAACAAATTTTACCTTTTTTATAATGAAATTTCACTGCCATAGAGCTTCTCTGAGGCTGTTGATTAATAAGTAAACTCTTGCTTTTAAGAATTTCTTATTAAATACTTGGGTTTAACTTCTGTCTTTGCATCAGCTTATTCATTATTGCTTAAAGAATCTTAACGAATGTTGACTCATTTGATTAAACTTTCTTTTTAAATTTTTTTTTAACTTTCTAGGTGGATTATGATAATCATGCACTTTATAAACATGGAAAAACACGTCGGAAACAGTCTCCTGTGCGTATTTTCACCAATATTCCACCCAACAAAATAATCCTTCCTATCGAAGAAGGGTACAGGTAAGATTCTAGTGGGACCTTGAAATACACGAGTCACTGGAAATAAAGTTCCATATATCTAACATTAAAATGCCTTTGACTCATGTAGTTCTTCTGTTACTTTTAAATTTGGCCCATAATTTTATATTGAATTGAATTCGGATTACACCCAATTTTTGTAACAAGTGCCTTGTGAACTTTTATCTACGCTGTGAATCTCAATAAATATATGCCCTTGATTCTCCATGTCTTTCTTTCCTCCTTAGATTTTGCCCTCTGTGTCAACGATATGTTTCCCTAGAGAATCAACACTGTGAGCACTGCAATTCTTGCACATCCAAGGTATAGGTTTCTTTAGAATGCATTTTTATTCAAATATATTAGTTTTATTTTAGACTGCTAGTTTTAATATATTTGTTTAATGTTTTGTTAATATTATAATTTGTATTAATATATTATTGTTTATTAATATACTTTAATATAATCTTTTATAGTCTATAAAGTATAGCAAGCTTTTAAAAATACTTCGTTGCCTTCATCATCATTAACAATTATTTGAATTCATTTTTATATGGTACTGGCATGACTGCTAAAATTATTAGTACAGTGTTTCAAATAAGGCACTAAATGAGTGCTAAATTTTGTTGGGGGAGAAGTAAGAAGTTTCCAATAAGGCGTTGAACTATTGGATACCATCACTGTTCTGATGAAATAACAATTAATAACATGCACTGTGCACGTGTTATGAGCCAGGCCCTTCCTAAGAGCTGTCCCGGTATGGACTGACAGGTACTCCTCCCGGCAGTCCTAGCAGACTGGCGCAGTTACTCCTTGCTCTTACAGATGAGGAAGGACTGCAAGGGACATACCTCCTATTTATTTTTGTAGGAAGGTGGGATCATCCTGAAGTTGCTCTGTTAGTTTAACTAAATCCAGTCAGAGAGAACATGTGAAGTTTAGTTTGGCTGATAAGCACATATTATTCTCCACAGGAGAGGCTGTATTTTTATAACTATTAGAAAGTATACTTTTCATGACTTTGTAATTTTGTTGCAGGTTATACTTGTTTTTATAACACATCTGATTACATATATTTTCAATTAGTTTAGATATTATCTGTAGTCTTCGTTTTAAAAAATTAATGACCAGATCATATAAAGGTCAAAATGAGGAAAACAAAGCTGTATTATTTAGAGATGTGCATATAAGTGGTAAAAATAAACAAAAGTGAGGAAGTGACCATCACAGAAACCAGAGCAGGTGTTACTCAGAGGGAAGGAGGAATGCTGGACTGGGAGGGGCATGTGTGTGGGGAAGTGTCTGGGGGCTGGTGGCATTCTATTTCCTGGCCTTTGGGGTTCATCAGTGTTTAATACTCATGAAACTGGACATGTTGTGTTTTATGCACTTTTCTAGGTATATTTTATTTCAGTTATCAAATTACCCAAATAGTAACCTAAAATCTCTATCTTTCTAATTACATTAAGTTCTCAAATACGGATTTTATTAAGGGTTATGCCAGATAGACCATAAAAATTATGAATCAATTCTCTTGAAATTTTCATTGAGTCCTTTTTTGTGCAGATTGAGTTGCTTGAGCTGAAGTGGACTTTCAAGACCATTTAGATAAATCCCTCAGTTTTAGAGTTAAGGAAATTGGGACTCATCAAGAGGTATTTGAATTGAGTGGAGAAATGCATAAATTGAAATCAAAGTATTTAATTGTGAAGCTCAGGAAAGTGAGAAATAAGGAATGAATAATTTACACAGATTTTCATAAGACATTTTTAATTTTTAATCGTGGAACTTGATTTTTAATGACAAATTAAACATAATTTAAAAATTGTTTTTGTAGGATGGCAGGAAATGGAACCATTGCTTTTTCTGCAAAAAGTGTGTAAAGCCTTGTAAGTATTTAGACTTAGTGTTTGAGAACTTATGGAAACATCTCAGTTTTCTTCATCTAAATAGGATTTTTATTTAATTGTATTTATAAAAGAAAAAATATAGAGACCTGCAGTAATTTACTTGCTTTTTAATTTTTATAATTACCAAAATGTACGTTCTCTCCTTCATAGAGAGATGTGCCCGCTCACCTGTTTCAGTGTGGCTTTCGGTTTGGCTCATTTTCATAGGGCTTTGGTTCACTCAGCCGGCCCCCATTGTCAGTGGCTCTCAGCCCATGAGTCACTGGAGGAGGGCTGCATTTGTTGCCGTGAATCAGAAAGAACTTAGCTGGTTTACGTGGGTTTGGCCTTTTCAGTGAAATTATAACCAGCTATGCAAACGAGTCACAAGGTTTGAAGTAAACACTATTTATGCTTCCCTATCATAAAGGTTAATCAAATGAAAAATTACATTAAATGAATCTCTTCTAAAACTTAACTTTTATTTTACAGCCTGGATCCACTGTAGCATTTGCAATCACTGCGCTCTTCCAGATCATTCTTGCGAGGGCCCTAAAGACGGCTGCTTTGTTTGTGGTGAATTAGATCATAAACGTAGTACTTGTCCTAACATCTCTACATCTAAGAAAGTTAACAAGTTAGTTGAATTCTTCTATTTACTAGAAAAAAATCTTCCTTATGTGATTTGTATAGAGCAATCCACAAAAGTATACAATAGTTAGAGGATTCAGAATTAATTGTTGCTTTCACTGTTAGGTATTGTTTGCATAGAAGGGGGAGGAGGGATATGAAGATGAGCTTAAAATTTTACAGGTAAGACATGAAAATAACCAAAATATGAGGTAGAAAATGGCTAAGTTTCTATCTCGTATGTTTCATGTGAAATTATAGTTTGTGGGGTGAGAGGTCAGGCTTTATTGAAGGACATGAACTTTAACTCGGGACAAATCGGATATAAATGTGTGATAGCCAGTGAGGCTGGAGAAGGCATTTAGATGGAATGCAGTGTGTAATTCCACAGTGCACACATTGGAAAAGGAAATTATTTCTTTAAATTATGTTAGACTTCAAGAAAAACATTTAGACATTTAATACTTAAATATTTAAACTTTTAATTTTTATTTTTTTCTATGATTATTTTCACTTCTCCCACCAATATTTGGTATTGGTTATAATTCAGAACAAAGTTATACTGATGACAATAGCATATTTAGAAAAACCATTACTGTTTCAACTGGGCTAACTTGAATGACTATACTTTTTTTTTTTTAAGAGATTGGCACCTGAGCTAACAACTGTTGCCAATCTTCTTCTTTTTTTTTTTTTCTTTTTCTCCCCAAATCCCCCTGGTACATAGTTGTGTATTTTAGTTGTGGGTTCTTCTAGTTGTGGCATGTGGCACGCCGCCTCAGCATGGCCTGATGAGCGGTGCCATGTCCGCGGCTAGGATACAAACCTGCAAAACCCTGGGCCGCCGCAGCAGAGCGCTCGAACTTAACCACTTGGCCATGGGGCCGGCCCCATATACTTTTTTTTGTTTAAACTAAAAGGGATGATAGGTATTGAGTCCTCTTGTTTATTGATATGAAAACCAGATAGCCAAGTTTAACATTACATGAAAATTGAGATTAGGATAAAAGTTTTCAGCTATCATATGACTTGTGATGAAAAAAACATCTATTAGTATTAGAAGCATCTGATGCTTTAGTAACTATTTATGATTGTATTAGAATTCTTTTCCCTTTGTTTATTTATTTTTATTTTTTTGGTCAGTGGAAATTATTTTTTTCCATTAAGGCCCAGCCATTTGAATTCTGCCTTACTATTTAAACTGCCTTTTTCATTTTTTTTTTTAACCAACTTTACTTTAAATAATTATTTCCACTAAGTAATCCAGGGTAGAAGTGGAATTTTTTAAATTAATTAAAGAGGTGTATTAAAGAATTTTATAGAATATTTTTCCTTAGAAACCTTCAAGAATAGAATACAACCTAATAAACTATTGGTCTGGGATTGTTGCACTATTTACAATGTAATCCTGGTTGGAAACAAGAGCCAGTAACATGCTCAGCCTTTGATTCTGTGATCTTATGATACATGGAAACTGAATTTTCATTTTGGTGATATCTTGAAGGCTCTTCTTTGATTCTTAAACAGCCACGGCTAGTCTATTTGGTACTGATATATTGTTTTCATTCAGGGAAATCATCTAGTATCTTTTAGTACTAGATTTTCCAAAGTTTAATTCAAAGAGCAAATCCCTTAGGATGTAGTATATCTGATAATTCTTAAATAGTATTACTTTCTTCTCTCAGAGAGAACTCCTAAACTCCTGTTAATAGTTATCTTCAGATACTGCTTTAAAATAATATTTTTTATAATGAAATTGACAAGGCAAATTTTTTTCTTTACAATAGTAAAAAATAATTTTAATAGCCTTTTTAGCATATGTGGCATAAAAGATCTTTTCATCTTATGTATTTTATAGCTATCATATTAATTTGTTTTTCTTTAGTATTAACTTTCCTTTGGTTGTGAACTAGAATGACGCTGGCTCCCTCTTGTGGCTAAATCTCATTTTATCAGTTACATAAATATCTATGATTTAGAGGACAAATACTAGGTCAATTTAATTTTAAGACAAAATAAAACAATTAATTGATTTATATTCAAATCAGTTTATCACTGTTGAAAGATTTTATCTCTGGATAAAGGTTTGTTTATTCCTATTACAAATGAATATTTTCTGTTTTTTTCCTGTATCCTCTAATGAAATCTGGTTCATGTTTAATTCTTTTTATAAGTGGATAAGCCAAAGAAAATTTGTTTAAATTTTGTCTACAGGCATGCATAGCTTCATTGACTTTGCCATCAAGAGATTATACTTCATTAAATTTGCTAAATTATCACTTATCAGGACATTATCCTACTTTTAAAAAATAGCTGGACCAAAAGGAGATTTATAGAACATGCACAAAAGAGTATAAAGATGACTATTTTATTTTGAACTGACAGAATACCAAAGTTCATACAGCAGAATCTAAATATAAAAAAATTTAAAGTTGTCAAGCAAAATTTTGAATAATAGTTGTATAGAGCTACTACTAATAGCTAATATTTATTTAGTGATTAGTATATGCTTAGCATTTTACGTACCTGAATGATTTATGGTAGAGTATACAGTATCAAGGTAATTAGGAGCATAGGTTCTAGAATCAAGCTGGTTCTGCCACTTCCTCCCTGGATGATTTCATAGCCTCAATTTCTTCCCCTAAAAAATATTGGGAAGGAAAGGGAAGGTTAATATCTGCCTGTGTCAGTCTCCTTGCTCCTTCAAGTCAGAGATTATGCATTCATTTTTGTATTCTTAACACTTAACATAGGTCCTGAATGAAGAAAAGTGAGGCCTGAGTTTGGTCCACGGGGGGATTATATACTGTTTATCAAGCTCCTTTCCCAGGTTTTGGTCCTGGGAAGATCAAGAATAAGCTTTTCCCTAGGACTTGTGGTTTAGGAGAAGTGAATCTAACGATTGATATTGCTGAGTAGCCATGGGAAGTTTCCAGGTTTGCCAGTCCTGGCAGCCCAGCCCATTCCTTGCTTTGTGATAGGATAAATGGCCTGATGCTGCTAGCTTGGAGAAAGTGAATGAACAGACCAGTAATCTTTCTCAGCTATAGACTGCCTGTAACTTAGTTCAGAGAACACCAGAAGCAAAGGGTCTATTTTTTGCTGGGTAGTTTAGTGTTTTTAGAGGGTGAGTTCCAACTTCTTCATTGTGAGGTTAGTCATTATGAAAACAGAGATCATAAAATGTGGACATCCCATGTGGCACACGTCAGGACTTTTAGACCTACTGAGGAAGGGAAAATTAGCTGTAAGACTTATAAGATGGGCATCTTTAAGTGTTGTCAGTTTTTTTCCATTGTGCTATTTCATTTTTCTACCTCTGCTTACTGCCAAATGTGTCGGTCCTTTTTCTGAAAAATGTAATTCAGGGATTTGGAAATTGAAGTGCTGAGTTGAGCAGTCCCAAAAAAATAAAAACAAAACCTAACCAAAAAAACCTCCAACTCATTGGCTTGGCTATTTACCTCTGTGGTGTGTTTGTCTCAAATAGGTTGTTCTAAATCTGTAGTAACCATCTTTCAAAGAAATTTCTTTTCTGAAACATTTTGCTTGGTCAGGCCTCTGACTATCTCCTTGTTATTATGGTTAGGATTCTGTGGATTTATGCTTATAATACAGTAAATTCTTTCTTCTGTTTTCTTATTTGGTTAGCTATTTAATTAAACTTCAACATAATTACATAATTCACTGTGCTCATTCTGCAAAATAATTTAGCGCCTTGTTTTTCAGAGCTGTCAGAAAGAAGAAGCAGAGAAAAAGTAATAAGATGAAAATGGAGACCACTAAAGGACAATCCATGAATCATACATCTGTTACAAGGAAAAAGGAAAGGAGAGAAACAGCCCATCAATATCTTTGCTCTTAAATGTCCAGTGACTTGAGAATAAGAAAGATTTATAGTCCAACCTTTGATGCCATTTTCTGAAAGTGCCGCACTGGACTTAAATTCTGTCGCTTTCAAAAGTATGCGCCTTTCTAAGCTGGATAATAGGCAGGTGGTATTTGCTGGTTGATAGACCCCTCAGCAGCCTCTCTGGAGACCTGGGGAGTTGTTCCATCCTTAGCTGGTTTACTAGCTCCCTATCTGTACCTTTTTTCTCTCTTCCAATCATATTATTTTAGCCTCTTTTATCTGGAAAATGGGCATACAGTATTCTTTTGCAGAGAGTGTCAGAAGAAAATGAAAATGAAAACCTGAGGTTTTGTTTACATTGAACATAAAAGTATGTTGTTATATAAATCTTTTAAATTAAGCATTAAAATACTGTACAATGGCTTAAACCCCACTTATAAAGAGAATTACAGTGTACAATTATTTTTAGACAGAATCTGAAGATGATGGAAGGAATTTTGACAAAGGCAGTCGAAATATAAAGATTATAATTATGGTTACATTATTATTAAATATTTATTTTTCAAGTACTTTTTGCAGTTGTCCTTTGATGATATAGAATCAAATGTTTGTTGAATGAATGAGGTATTTAGAATTATGACTTGCTCTGTCATATCAGTGTCTTTTAACCTAGACAGTAAGTTTCTCTCTTTGTAAAAGGAGTAGCAGAAAGCAGAATAGTTTTGTGATTAAAACTCCTCATTCCTAATTTGACTAACTCTTCCTGGCTGTATGTCCTTGGCCAGGTCATTCACTCTAGAAGCCCGTTTCTTCATTATTATAATGGAGATAATAATAGTTACACCTCAGGTTTGTTTTGTGATTGAATTAAATGAGGCACATGTGCCTGGTTCTCAGTTCTGTTATTGGTGAGAAATGTTAACAAGTGAAGATGGCTACTGAGCCCTAATGGTAACATCTGGTGGTCCAGTACCATAGCACAGAAGGGTGTAGTTTGAACTCTGAGAACAAACAATTGGTCTCCCCATTTCTCTGCTAGGTATCTGACCTTATCTCCGTAGGACTGAATAACTTTGAATGGCTTGCGTTTGCATAATGACTTTTCTCTTGTTCTCAAACAACTGCTTTGGAGCAAGTTTGGAGGCATCTTTGCTTGGGCTTAGCTAGAGCCCTGTGAGTAAAGGTAGAACTGCCCTCATCTGGTGTTTAAATTCCATCTGGTATTTAAATTAGGACTGTGTGACGCCTCATGTGGAATACTCAAGCATGGCCCTGATCGGTGTGATAGTGGTGTACATCAGGTGACATCAAAAGATGTGCTGAGCTCCTGCACTAACAAGCATCAGAAAACTCTTCTCTTGCCCCCTTTTTTACGTGGGTTGCTTTGGTGATAGGAAGGGCAGATTTTGAGGTGACTGGATGAGATCTGAACCTTGTAGAATCATTGTGAGAGTTCCTTTCTCTGATTCGGGCATGGATATAGACATTGCCTGACTTCCCTGGTGTCCACGATACTATAGAAAAACCTATTGAAATCTGCCCTGAAACTCAGACACCTAAGGGACCATGACTACTGAAGAATTGGGTCCTGATGGCCAGTGGTTTATTATCATCACTGTATTTTCTTAGTTTTAAGATACAATCAATTGTAAAATGCAGTATTGATGTAATCATAGCTTTTCAGGGGAAAAGCTCCATGTCTCATTAATGATACATATTAAATTTTAGACATACCTTGAAATGTGAAAAAAAAAGCACATCCTACAATTGAGGAAATAGAGTGTTGCTTATAATCAAGAATTATGTATTTTAAAACTTTGTTACCTTCCTAGAAAGTTAAAAATAGGAAATTTGGTGAGTCTGTTCTTGTATTCAGTTACTACTAATTTGAAGGACTTAATTTCTTCTTTCTTTTCTCAGAGAATAAACTAATAGGATGTAAAAATGTCTCTGGGAGGTAAGTGTGATGGGAGATGAGGTCATTTGTTCTAATTAGAAATCTGCATATCTGAACATTAAGATACCTACTCAAAACAACAATAGAAGAAAATCCCTGAAATTTGACAGATAGAACTTTCTAAGCTTTTTAAAGAGGCATTTTGTAAAAATTATTTTATTGAGGTCATATTGGTTTATAACATTGTGTAATTTCAGGTATACATTATTATATATCAGTTTCTGTATGGACTGCATTGTGCTCAGCACCAATAGTCTAGTTTCTATCCATCATCATACATATGTGCCCCTTTACACCTTTTGCCCACTCCTCCACCTGCTTCCCCTCTGGTAACCACTGACCTGTTCTCTTTATCCATGTGTTTGTTTATCTTCCACATATGAGTGAAATCATAAGGTCTTTCTCTATCTGGCTTAACATAATACCCTCAAGGTCCATCCATGTTGTTGCAAATGGGACGATTCTGTCTTTTTTTATAGCTGAGTAGTATTCCAGTGTATATACATACACACCACATCTTCTTTATCCATTCATCAATTGATGGGCACATGGGTTGCTTACACGTCTTGGCTATTGTGAATAATGCTGCAGAGAACATAAGGGTGCACAGATCGTATGGTAGTTCTATTTTTAATTTTTTGAGAAATCTCCATACTGTTTTCTGTAGTAGCTGCACCAGTTTGCATTCCCATCAGCAGTGTATGAGGGTTCCATTTTCTCCACATCCTCTCCAACACTTTATTTCTCGTCTTGTTAATTATAGCCATTCTGACGGATGTGAGGTGCTATTTCAGTGTAGTTTTGATTTGCATTTTCCTGATGATGAGTGATGTTGAACATCTTTCATAAGTCTGTTGGCCATCTGTTTATCTGCTTTGGAAAAACGTCTGTTTTATCCTCTGCCCATTTTTTGATTGGGTTGTTTTTTTGTTGTTGTTGAGATATATGAGTTCTTTATATATTTGGAAATTAACCTCTTGTGGGATATATTATTTGCAAATATTTTCTCCCAGTTAGTGAGTCGTCTTTTCATTTTGTTCCTGGTTTACTTTGCCTTGAAGAAACTCTTTAGTCTGATGTAGTCCCACTTGTTTATTTTTTCTTTTGTTTACCTTGCCTGAGTAGACATGGTATTTGAAAAAATGCTTCTGAGACCAGTGTCAAAGAGTGCACTACCTATTATTTTCTTGTAGGAGTTTCATGGTTTCAGGTCTTACGTTCAAGTCTTTAATCCATTTTGAGTTGATTTTTGTGTATGGTGTAAGATACTGGCCTACTTTCATTCTTTTTCATGTGGCTGCCCAGTTTCCCCAACACCATTTACTGAAGAGACTTTTCCTTTCTCCATTATATCTTCTTGGCCCCTCTGTCAAAGATTAGCTGTCTATAGATGTGTGGTTTTATTTCTGGGCTTTCAATTCAGTTCCATTGATCTGTGTGTCTGTTTTTGCACCAGCACCATGCTGTTTTGATAACTATAGCTTTGTAGTATATTTTGAAGCCAGGAATTGTGATGCCTCCAGCTTTGTTCTTTTTTCCTCAGGATTGCTTTGGCTATTTTGGGTCTTTTGTTGTTCCATATAAATTTTAGGATTCTTTGTTCTATTTCTGTGAAGAATGTCATTGGGATTATGATTGAGGTTGTATTGAATCTATAGATTACTTTAGGTAATATGGACATTTTAACTATGTTTATTCTTCCAATCCATTTCATAATTTCCATTATCTTTCCATTTCTTTATTTTATTTTTGTGAGGAAGACTGACCCTGAGCTAACATCTGTGCCTATCTTCCTCTACTTTGTATATGGGATGCTGCCACAGTGTGGCTTGATGAGCGGTGTGCCCCTACCCAACTGGGATCTGAACCTGCAAACCCTGGGCTGCCGAAGCACATTGTGTGAACTTAACCACTATGCTACTGGGCCAGCCCCCTATTTTTCCATTTCTTTATGTCTTCTTCTATTTCTTTCAATAATGTTGTATAGTTTTCAGTGTATAGGTCTTTCACCTCCTTGGTTAAATTTATTCCTATATATTTTATTCTGTTTGTTGCAATTGAAAATGGGATTGTATTCTTGACTTCTCTTTCTGTTAGTTCATTATTAGGGTAAAGAAGTGCAACTGATTTTTGTAAGTTGATTTTGTACCCTGCAATTTTGCTCTAGTTGTTAATTATTTCTAATAGTTTTCCAGTGGATTCTTTTTTTTTTTTTTCTGCTTTTTCTCCCCCAAATCCCCCCAGTACATAGTTGTGTATTTTTTAGTTGTGGGTCCTTCTAGTTGTGGCACGTGGGACGCCGTCTCACTGTGGCCTGATGAGCAGTGCCATGTCCGCGCCCAATATCTGAACTGGCAAAACCCTGGGCTGCCAAAGTGCAGTGCTCGAACTTAACCACTTGGCCACAGGGCTGGCCCCTTCAGTGGATTCCTTAGGGTTTTCTTTTTTTTAGATTTGCTCCTGAGCTAATGTCTGTTGCCAATGTGCCTGTTTTTTTTCTTCTTCTTCTTCTCCTCCCCAAAGCCCCCCCGACCCCCCAGTACATAGTTGTATATTCTAGTTGTAGGTCCTTCTAGTTCTGCTATGTGGGATGCCGCCTCAGCATGGCTTGATGAGTGGTGCCCTGTCCTCTCCCGGGATCTGAACCAGCGAAACCCTGGGCCGCCAAAGTGGAGCATGTGAACTTAACTACTTGGCCACCGGGCCAGCCCCTTTAGGATTTTCTATATAAAGAATCATGTCATTCACAAACAACGAGAGTTTCACTTCTTCCTTCCTTTTTTTGATACTTTTTATTTCTTTTTCTTGCCTAATTGCTCTGGCCAAAAACTCCAGTACTATGTTGAATAGGAGTGGCAAGAGCGGGCACCCTTGTCTTGTTCCTGTTCTCAGAGGGATGACATTCAGTTTTTCACTGTTGAGTATGATGTTGGCTGTGAGTTTGTCATATATGGTCTTTATTATGTTGAGGTACTTTCCTTCTATGCTCATTTCATTGAGAGTTTTTATTGTCAATGGATGTTGGATCTTGTCAAATGCTTTCTCTGCATCTATTGAGATGATCCTGTAATTTTTATTCCTCATTTTGTTAATGTGGTGTGTCACATTGATTGATCGATCTGTGGATGTTGAACCATCCCTGCATCCATAGAATAAATCGCACTTGATCATAGTGTATGAGCCTTTTAATGTATTGCTTTATTTGATTTGCCAATATTTTGTTGAGGATTTTTGCATCTATGTTCATCAGCAATATTGGCTTGTGTTTTCCTTCTTTGTGTTGTCCTTGTCTGGTTTTGGTATTGGGGTAATGTTGGCCTCATAGAATGAGTTAGGAAGTGTTCTGTCTTCTTCAGTTTTTTAGAATAGTTAGAGAAGGATAGGTATGAAATCTTTCAATCTTTGGTAGAATTCTCCAGAGTAGCCATTTGATCCTGGATTTTTGTTTTTTGGGAGGTTTTTGATTACTGTTTCAATCTCTTAACTTGTGGTTGGTCTATTCAGATTCTCTCTATCTTCTTGGATCAGTTTTGGGATGTTGTATGAGTCCAAGAATTTGTGCATTTTTTATAGGTTGTCCAATTTGTTGTCATATGGTTTTTCATAGCATTC